CCAGGCTGGAGTGCAGTGGCCCAATCGTGACTCATTGCAACCTCCGCCTCCCAGGTTCAAGTGATTCTCCTGCCTCAGCCTCCTGAGTACCTGGGATACAAGCATGTGCCACCACACCTGGCCAATTTTTGTGTTTTTAGTAGAGACAGGGTTTTGCCATATTGGCCAGGCTGGTCTCAAACTCCTGACCTCAGGTGATTCACCTGTCTCGGCCTCCCAAAGTGTTGGGATTACAAGCATGAGCCACTGTGCCTGGCCCAGATGATTCTTACCTAGCACAACTGTCCTAAGAATTACCTTCTGAAATTTTGTTATTTTGGAAAATGTTATCTTGCCTATATTTCTCTAGAATTTAATGCAAATTATGTATGTGCATTTCTTTAATCAGAACTTGCATGCCAACAATCATATGTTCATAATAATATTTCTAATAGGTAATCATTGCACTTAATACTAAAGCATTTTTAAAAAGCATGGAAAAGCAAAAAGTTGTTTTATTCTTGGTAAACAGGTCTTTAGCAATGTCTTGCTTTTTGGTAGTTTTTGTTTTGCTAATCCTTTTTTTAAAATGCCACTATTTCTTAAAAGCCAAAGCAATGTTTAAAAATCAAATATGTCAGGAGGTCATGTTAGTTCTTTACCCTGTTCACACTTCTCCAACCCCAGCAGGAACCAGGGAAGTAGAATTGCTCTCAGTGAATTTATGAGATTTGTTTCTCTTTACTTAAGTTGTATGTAGTGGAAACTGTCACGTGTTTGAAATATGCTTGAAGTATCAGGTAATTCATTACACATATGTGCAGTATTTTAAAAGTACTGGATTTCCTATTCATCACTTTAGAATTTGTTTTAAAAATGTATATCAGGCACTGCAGGAAACCTCAAATGTAAATATATATCATTATCCAAGTATTTGTCTAAACTTAGACACCTGGGATGTTTTATTATTATCCATCATCCAGTTGGCATAAAAGAAGGGGCAAGAAATCTGTGATAAAGAATGTCAGGATATCGTTTTGACAGATAAAAAAATAACTCTTTGATTTAGCAAATAAATGAAAATAATTCTTCCTAATTGTCCTACTATCTTTAGAGTGAAGAAATCAGCATACGTATGTTATCAACAGTTTATAAAATGGAGTGGAATTTAAGAGACAATTGTACTGCTGCTAATTCTTATAAATGAAAATGCTAGGCATTTGAAATCTGTGTTTGGTTTCTTTATCTTCACATATAGTCCATTTTTTTTCTGTATTTCTTAGATCCCAGCGTCTGAATTTCGATGTATCATCTCCTAATGGAATTCTTCTCTTCAGAGAAGCTAGTAAAATGGTTTGCACTTATGGTGAGTATCCTTTTCCATGTGTCTCTGCAATATCGTTTTATCTCTTTGGAGGAAAGAAAGATGTTAGTTATTTTGTTCTTTTGAACTTTCATATCTTTATGAATTTGTGAAGTGGGTAATACAAGTGCAAAAAGCCAGGTAGCTATCATATTGGCATCAGGAGAAGTAAGTAGCATGCCTTTGACTAAATCATGCCTGACCAACTTGATGAATTTCTTTTGGATAAAATTGCAGTGTCAGTAGATGAGGGAATACACTAGATAGAATATTGAAAAGTTACAGCATATTCAAAATTGCTCAGAGTTACATCAGGGAGTTTACTATGTTGAACCAAGGAATGCTTAAACCAGAATGTCACTGAATTGTGGGAGAATATCCTTGTAAAGAGGAGTAAATATCTTTTTATGAGAAACTTTTGGGTACTGCACCTCTAGAAGCAGAGTTCTACAGGAAAGATTGTCCTATTCAATTATAGTCCTAAATTTAGTATTTGTTTAGCAGTTTGGCCCTTACAACTACCAAAAACTCTAATATTTGCCAATTCTGACACTGTCATCAATGAAATTCTCTACTCTCTGTGACCTGTATGTAGATAGGGAATGGAGATAGGGTGGATAAAAACCCTCTGTAATCTAATTTGGCACACAGTGACTGAATGTCAACTGAGCTGGGCTCTGTGCAATGCACTTCTCCTTGATAAATGTTTCCGTGTCCTTTTTTTCCCCCATCTGTTCTTTCCCAAAGCAACAGCAAAGTCTTAAGTAAATTTAGTCTTAAAAATTGCCTGATTTTTTTTTTTTTTTTTTTTTTTTTTTTTGAGATGGAGTCCCACTCTGACACCCAGACTGGACAGTGCAGTGGCACAATCTCAGCTCACTGCAACCTCCGCATCCCAGGCTCGGGTGATCCTCCCACCTCAGCCTCCCGAGTAGCTGGGGTTATAGGCACGTCACCGCACCTGGCTAATTTTTGTATTTTTAATAGAGACAGGGTTTCACCATGTTGGCCGGGCTGGTCTCGAACTCCTGACCTCAAGTGATCTACCCACCTTGGCCTCCCAAAGTAATGGGATTGATTACAGGCATGAGCCACTGCACCCAGCCGTGATTCTCCTATTTCTTTTTGAGTATCAAGAAACAAACTTTATAAAATTTTATAAAGTGTCTTTATTTTAATTCTGCATGTGTTTGTGCATGTATGTAAGAACAACCAATAGAAGCATTATCACTTTTTCTAAAGTAAAAGCCTATTTTTAAAAAGAAAAAAATGGGTGTTTTAAGTTGTTTTTACCTCATTTCAGAACACATTCTGGGGCCCTGATCTGTATACATTGTAGGCCTCCATTAAAAATACTTCATTTTAATTGCACATCTGATTTGTAGAATTTGAGATTTTTCATATGTAAAAACTAGAGAAAGCACTTATATAGGAGAGTAAACTTGTACTCTCTTATTTTCATCTGTACCAGTAACTACATTGCCACAACTTTTGTATCCTGTTTGAAAATAGACACATTAAAATCATATAAAGTGGGCCAGGTACAATGGCTTATGCGTGTAATCCCAGCACTTTGGGAGGCCAGGGCAGGCAGATCACTTGAGGCCAGGAGTTCAAGACCAGCCTGATCAACATGGTGAAACCCCATCTCTACTAAAAATACAAAAAATTAGCCAGGCGTGGTGGCGGGCACCTGTAATCCCAGCTACCCGGGAGGCTGAGGCAGGAGAATCGTTTGAACCCGGGAAGCGGAGGTTGCAGTGAGCCAATATTGCACCATTGTGCTCCAGCCTGGGCAACGAGCGAAACTCTGTCTCAAAAAATAAAATAAAAATAAAATCATATAAAGTGGAAATACTTTGCCTCCTAGAGGTAAAAATGGACGCATTTAAAAAAATTCTAATACAATTTGCCATACTTTTAGTGTATATCTAATTCTGTTCCATGTTTTGTCATATAAGATGTGTGTCTGGACCTTTTTTCAAAAACAGCATGGTATATTAGAAAAAGCACAGTTTTCGAATTTATAAGATCTGAGTACTAATCCTATTACCAATACTTTATCAACTCCATGACCTTCAGCTGAAATACTATATATACCTCTTTGTGACTAGTTTTCTCTTGTATAAAATTAGGACTACTAAATACCTACTGACTTACCTGCCTAGTTGGGATTAAAAAGGTTAATTGAGCTATTCTGGTAAACGGCCTGACACAGGAGGTAACATGGAATAGTTAATCACTGTTTATGCCTCTCCTTGTTCCAAAGCCTATCTGTTATACTCACCAAGCCAGCCTTCTTTGGACAGGGGTTCAACAACCCACATCATTGTTTTGCTCAGCAGTGCTTCCTGTTTGGATCACACTGCCCTGCTTCCTCTGCCTGTAACCAGTGATGAGTTTCTATTTCCTCACTTATTTAAAGGAAATAAACAGCACATATATAAGAATCTCTTAGTAATCAATAGGACTTTAACTATGCATACGTTAGATTCCTGTTACCAGTTACAATTGTATCATTCCTACCCCTTTCTCTGGATCTTTCTTTTCACTAAATGTATTTTTTCTTTGGCGGCTTATTTACTGTTGCACTAGGGCTGTTAAGAGAAGCCAGCTTCCTCTTCCAGTATCACTGACTTTCTAGGACAGAATGTATGTCCAGTAAGTGACACCAAAAGGAATCTGACAGAACAATGCCAAATCTATGGCCTTCAAAAGTTCTTCCGTTCTCTGTTGGGTTGTCTGACATAGAAAAAGGCATTGCAGCAAAAGTTGAGAAAAATAACTATGTGAGGATTATCTTGGAGGAGGAGGAAGAAGAGACAGAAGAGAAAGGAAATGAAAGGATAGGAGAAGTGAAGTGGAGTGGGGGAAGAGGCAAAACCTTCAGAGCATTCTTGCAAAGAAAAGCCAGTAAGGAGTTTTCTTACCCGTAAGAAAGACAAGGTTAGAGTAAGGCTCTGCTCCTCAATTTAGACTAATAGTACTGCTAGCCTTCCTTCTGTTACCAGCTTTTATAGTCTTATATTAGACCATTTATCATACATTACCCTGTTGAATCCTCAAGGTAGGTATTATGTGCTACTCACTAGTTATATGACCTTGGTTAAGTTGCAAGCCTCTCTTGCTTCAGCTTCTCGTTAGAGAAAATACTACATACCTCAAAGACGTGGTTGTGAGACTTCAGTTAGGTAATGTATGGAAAGCCCTTAGAGTAGTTACTGATTGTGATTACTGTTAGGAAGAAATTGAAGCTCATAGAGGTTAAAAACTTTGCCAAATATTGAATAGCTAGCAAGTAGCTGAATTGGAATTTCATTCAGTCATACTGACAGTAGTCTTTTCATATTCTTTACTGCCTCTTGGGATTTGCCAAAGTAAGATTTTACCATGGATATTTATGGTGAAGCACTGTTCTTTAAAGTATGGTGATTTCTATCTCAAAACTTAAAGGAAATCAAAGGTTCAATGGAAAAGTGTCCTTCAACTGGGTCACCAGTGACTCTGACAGTGACTTTGATGCATGCACTTTACATAGAATAATAGAAAAATGTCCTTAACCTCTACTGATTCTCTTGCTGGTCCACATAAGCCATCCAATTTGTCTGTCTTTACCTTCTGTAATGTTTTATTACCCATGCTTTTACCTCTGAAAATTCTAATATACACATTGGAGGAAGATCATGTAGTTGCCATTCAGGAGTC